TCTCCCATTTTTCCACATACACTAAATCGTGAAGTGTAAAGCTACAGAATTATCAGACACATTTTCTCCCCAAACACAAAGATCCTTCAGAGCATCTGAAATGATATGAGATTCACTACATATATACACAAAAACTCCCTGACCACTTGCAGAACACACACACTTCTTAGGCCTTGCCTTTGACATTTACACACCACCTCAGCATGAACTCCCTCTCAGGGATATTATGCTCCCCCTGCTCCCTGCAAGATTTTATTTCCCCCAGCTGCACACACAAAGAACACCCCGTCTCTAGTGAAGGGCTGTCTCACTGCATATCCCAGCCCCGACCACCACCTAAGTACACACAAATACCCAGACCAAGTCCTCTGTTCAACAAATGTTCTGTTTTACTCCCTTCCTCCTACACCTCTAATGCACAGGCACACAACCCAGAAAATTTTTAAAAAGATTTTTTATAGGTTTTTATTGATTTTAGAGAGAGGAAGGGAGAGGGAGAGAAAGAAACATCGATGAGAAACATTGATTGGCTGCCTCCTGCACGCCCCCACTGGGGATCGAGTCTGCAACCCGGGCATGTGGCCTGACTGGGAATCGAACCATGTCCTCCTGGTTCATAGGTTAACACTCAACCACTGAGCCACACCTGCCGGGCACAACCCAGAAATCTTAATGTCACTGCATCCCCACATGTGTATGCACATATAGCAAGCAATGGCAAAAGTGAGAGGGAAAAGATTTAATGTTCTAGCCTTTCCATGTTCACAAACTATTACTTACCTCCCCTACCCCACACATACTCCACAGAAAATGGACTATGTCAGGCTCTCTCCACCCGCTCTGCTCTATCACTTACATACCCTCCACACAATATTATACTAAATCCCTGTCCCCATCCTTATAAAGGGTGTCCAAAATTCACGCAAGAAATAATTTTGATAGAAAACACAGGTTTATAATTAAAAATTGTAAAATTTTTATTGATTCATAAAGTATACAGTATAGGGTTATGTATGGAATAGCAAACTGGATTATTATGTCACGATAGCGAGCACCATTAACTGTTATTGCCTGAGCAGCCGCATTTTCGAAGAAGAATGGTCCGATGATGCCTCCAGCCCAAAATCCGCACCAAACAGTGACACGTTGTGGATGCATTTGTTTCTCAGCAATCACCCGTGGATTTCCTGA